ACTCATTAAATCTGTCTTGCACGCTATTCACGTGTTCTGGGCAAGTGTGTTCAGTCTCCCGATGTCTGTCTTTGCCAGTATTGAGAAGATACTAAGACAATTCCTATGGAAAGGCCCGGATCTGGGTACTGGAGGAGCCAAAGTTTCCTGGAGCGATGTCTGTCTTCCGAAACCAGAAGGGGGCCTAGGCATTCGACGTCTGGCAGATTGTAATAAAGCTGCGATGCTGAAGCATATTTGGATTCTATTCACTGATAGGGAATCCCTTTGGTGTAGATGGATACACTCCAACTTCCTCAAACGGAAAAATTTCTGGGTTGCTCCCAGCCCAACCTTCTGTTCATGGACCTGGAAAAAGATCCTCGGATTACGATCGGAATTCCATCTTCAATTCAAGTGGCAAGTTGGGAATGGCGCTTCCACTTCCTTTTGGTATGACTTCTGGCATCCTAGAGGCCCCCTCTGCTATTTATTTACAGACAGGGACATATACTCTTCGGGCATTCCCAGGAAAGCGACGGTGCGAGACTTTTCTTCATCCACCTGGCAAGTGTCTTTTGTAACAGAATCTCTCAATGCTTGGTCGGGCAGCTCGTCTGTCATGATCTCGGAACGAAGGGATCGGCTATCGTGGCAAGGCCACCCTTCCGGTATTTTTTCTTTCTCTTCGGCATGGGATCTTGTTCGGTATAAAGGGCTCGTTGTTCCATGGAGCAAGTTTGTTTGGGACAACGGCATTGCCCCGAGACACAGCTTCTTGCTTTGGCTGTCTTGCCTCAACAGGCTCCCAACTCAGGTGAGGTTGCTGTCTTATCATAGAATTGCTGAAGGCTCTTGTGCTTTTTGTCATACAAGACCCGACTCAATCGATCACCTTTTCTTTGGGTGTACTTTCACGGGCTCTCTCGCTCGTTTCTGGGCAAGTAATTGTAATTTATCTTTGACTGCTGGCTCGTGGATGAATACCGTGAGATGGGCTTCCCGAGTCATTGGTGGACAGTCCTTCCATCACCGAATTGCTCGAGCCTCCTTTGGAGCGATGTGCCACTGCATTTGGACTGAACGTAACAATATCCTATTTAGGGATCGTAATCCCTACTTGCCTGCAATGCGTGCCCACTTGGCCAAGACTATTAGGGATGTGGCTGTCTCCCTCCAACCGGTTGTTGACATACCGCGTAATAGAAGACTCCAAGTCAAATGGGGTATTCCGGCTTCTATTTTCCAGCAACTCTAAAGGCGATAACCTTTTAGGTTTCTAATCTTATTTGGCCGCTGTTTTGGCTATAGTTAGTGCTTCGCGCTTTGTATATTTATGCCTTGTTTAGCCGTTACACCTTTGCACCCGTCGTGACACTTTTGTGTTACCTCAGGTACGAGGTTTTTGTGTACGGTTATTCCACTTGTAATTTGCGTGTTGAAAAGTCAATATATCTCTTACCTTACCAAAAAAAAAAAAAACTCCATCCTCTCCAATGCTTTGTGATCTCGTTGAGTGAAAACTGCAGCACGACTAATTTCGGTAGATGTAAATTGGTTGGCAAAAAAGACCGATTGAGTTTAATGCCCCATTGAAGCCATTAATTTAGAAAACAGTTTGTTAAAGTCTTCGCTTAAAGCTGCCCGCCTCAATTGTAGGAGCCTCAATCTCTGTAAGTTTTAAATTGTTTATTTGTGGATGCAGTGGTTACGAACAAGTTGGCTAGGGCTGCGCATGGCAACTAGCCAAATAATGTTTGATTCTGTTCTTTTGTTCCCAGAATCAGTTTGGGAATAGAAATCCGTTCGTTTAATTTTTTGATTCTGGGCACAAATTCTTGCAAATTTGTGCCCAGAATCAGTTTTGGAGCAGAATCAAGAATAAAAAAAAAGTAGCTTCTTGATTCTGGGAACAAAAATGAGAATCAGTTTTTTTTTCTTCTTCTTTTTCTTGGTTTTTAATATAACTTCTAATGTCCGGCGCGAGGGCCACCCTCGCCGTATCTGGCGAGATTAAAATATTTTAATAAAAAAATATTATTAATAAAAAAAATTTACCGGCCATGGCCAGCGACCAGGCCATGGCGAAAAAAATAAAAAATATATTTTCAATATAAAATATTATTAATAAAAAAAATATTTATAAAAAAATATTTTACCGGCCATGGCAAAAAAATAAAAAAAATAATTTCAATAAAATATTTATAAAAAAAAATATTTTACCGGCCATGGCCAGCGACCAGGCCATGGCGAAAAAAAAGAAGTAAGATATTTTTAAAAAAATTATTAATAAAAAAAATTTATAAGAAAATTTTTTACCGGCCATGGCCAAAAAAAATAAAAAAATTATTTTTAATAAAATTATTATTAATTAAAAAATATTTTACCGGCCATGGCTAAGGAGGAGAAGAAAAAAAGAAAAGAAAGAAATATTAAAATATTTAAAATGTTATTAAAATATTATTAATAAAAAGAAATTTTATGCCGTTACCAAACGCATTTATGTTCTTTTACTATTTCAGGAATAGAAATTTTGGGCCGTTACCAAACGCCTTCAAATGCTCAGAATCAGTTTTCGGGCACAGAATAAAAAAGAATCATTTCTGACCAGAACTATTCCCGGGCACAGAATGGTTGCCATACGCAGCCTAGGTTGCGCAGCCAAAATTGCAAGTCTTGAGTAATGGGATATTGACGCCGGCTGCTTCGATGTATGCTCATGCGTCAATATCCCATTATTCAAAATCTGCAATTAGGGTTTCTCATAAGAACTGTAATCGTGTCGACTTTCAATTTCTCTCATGCATTTCAGTTGGTTTTAAGAGAAGTGTGCAAGTTCTACAAGGGTCAATGTCTTAATCAATATGTGTTGGAAGACATTATTGGTACTCTTGCTCCTTTAACTTGATCTTATACCACATGAAAAAGTATCACAACCAAAAGCCGAATTTCATTTATGTCTCAGGCCATATTACCTCTTACGCTAGTTGTTATTTTCAATGCTCCACTTCTCTTACATTTTCTTTCAAGCAGATACAATTATTAGCCTCTAATTTGCATCTATACATAAGTTTTGAGATATATTTATCCTTCAAACCTGGCTTGTGGTAAAGACATTGAATGCTTTGGTTAGCATTTTTCCCAATGTACCAAGTATGTAAACAGTTACGTATTCGGAAACACCATTTAGATGACTTTTCCACAACTTAATGAATATAGTTTTTAGAGTCATATTTCCCATAAAATTCAAAACACCTCAAATAACCAGATAAATAAATTTGCATCTCGTCCAACAAAAAGTCAAATCAAAACGGAGTATTCTTCCAATGTTGATTAACTCCAACAAAAGGTGCACATATCATGTTATATTTGTTAATACGATACATGGTATCAAATAACCAGATAAATAGATTTGCATCTCGTCCAACAAAAATGCAAATCAAAACAGAGTTTTCTTCTAATGTTGATTAACTCCAACAAAAGGTGCACGTATCATGTTATATTTGTTCGTACGATACATGGTATCAAACACCATTATATCACAAAACAATCATATAATCAAATTTGGACAAACGATCTATTTAAAATAGATTGGTCAATGTACCATCTTGATCTACATGTATAGGATGGAAATATATTAAGTTTTGCATTTGCATGCATTTAAAATGATTTAAAAGACTTTGACAATCTCTCCCACCTATACTATTTCATCTTTCGGTCTGTAAATTTTTTTTGACAATCACGCAAAATGAAATCCAAGTTTTGGTTTTCTCTTGCTTCGTTTTCCAAAAACTTATATGCCATAATTCCCCAATGCTAGCTTTAGCCATGTCAACTTAAATACTTTGCAAGTATCAAAGATCATTCTTCCACATCTTATCAAGTGCTTTTGATTTTCTGTTATAAATGCATGATTTGGGAATAAAAATTCACAAACACCATTTTCAATATTAAAGCTAACACAAGCTAAACAACCATATCTCGCTTCAATCTCTCATACTTCTTTTCTTGTGATCAAGTAGCGAGAAAACCCTCACAATTACACAAAAGTTTATTGGGTTATTTCTTCTTTTGAATTTTTATAAATCTAATTCTTCACCCCTCCAAAACATTTACCTATATATGCCACATACTTATGACATGCTTCAAGCTCACTTAAAAAAACTATTCCTACTTGAAATTAAAATCTTTTTTCAAATCACGCATTACATATGCAAGATCGGCAATTTCATGCTAAACAATAAAAAAAAACAAAAAATATTTAAGCTCTATTCAAAGTAGTGTTTATAAGAACAAAACAACATCTCGCTCATTACTTGAGCCATCAAAACATGTTTAACAAGGAAAACTTTTTTAAAATAACGTAAGTGCTTAAGCAAGGAAAAAGAAACCTTTTACAACTCCAAAAAAGTATGAGTGAAGAATTTCCCCCGATTCAGCCATCTGATGACCTTATATGTGCGGTGTACTAGTTTGTGATTTTTTTTTTTGTTAATCCAATTTAATGAAGGGTAAATTTATTACAGGTGTACCGGTTTTTTTTGGTATTAACCCTAAAGTTTTTTGTGTTAATATCACGAAAAATTCCAAACTGGTATACGATAAATTTACTCTAAATTAATTCTTTGACTACCAAAAATCTAAAACTGAAATACCTGTGATATTTTACCCTAACACCAAAAATTACCATAATACCAAAAATCTCAAACTAGTACTAATAATTTACCCTCTGTTAATTTCATTAAATTAGACTAATACCACAAAAAAGCACAAACTAGTACATTGATGACATACGGTGAGTAAAAATCCATGATACATCCATCAACCGTCACGTATTATCCTAACTCGGTAATTTGACAGTAAAATTTAACGATAACAAATGGATGGTAAATTTGTTATAGACACCAATTTAAAATTTTTTGTGATTAAAAAATTAATTTAAAATATATAGGTCAATATATATATTAATTTTGATTTTTCGTCATATTAACCCATATTTTTCCTTATGGAACACTAAGACGTGCTGTTTGTTGTCAGCAACTTCCAGAGCATCGCACACAAGGGCAAGAGTCGGCGTGTTCTTCTCGAATCCTTCTCGTCTCCCTTAATCATCTGTAGACCGTCGCAGCGACCCACCTACAAGTTCGTGAACTTCGTTCGGCTCCAACTTTTTTAGCTAGAGGTTCAGTCATCCCGTTCTTCTTCTTCTTCTTCTTCTTTGCACGCATGGTGTTTGTCAGTTTGCCCCCGTTTTGCTGCTGTTCTGCTTTCGGGCTGCTAAACCCATTTCGTGTTTCGTTCGTATCTACCCACTTCAGAACTTGCTTCCACTTGCAAGATTTCACGGCGCTGGGGTCGTCCATCGTGCTTTTCTTTATGTTCCCATCGGGTGCCTATCTTGATCTGCGCGTTGTGTTCGGCATGTGTTTGTTGAATGTCTCGTTAGAACTCAATGTGGATTCTCCTGCTTTGCCGATGTAAATGCTGCTCCACTATGTGCCTGCACGACTTCGTAGGCACTGTGGTTTGAATATATTGCTAAGCTTCGACATGGATTGACTAGTTCGCGAGTTGTCTAAAAGAGAAGTGACTGCTCCAAGCGACACGAAGACATATCGAGTGCACTTTATATGCGTGTGTCGCGGAAAGAATCGAGTGAATTATTTTGCACCGGGATTTTGAATTTTTTTTTTTGTTTATATCTGTTAATTTAGTTTTGCAGAAGGCTTGCTGTTTCTTCTCACCTGTACTCGGTTTGTTAAAAGAGAAGTTTATAAGCAAGAACAGTAAATGAGCGACATTCAAGTCTATAAGAAGCAGAAGAAATTGAGTTGTGGCAATAAGAGTGAATGCTGTATTGTGGTTGCGGCTTGTGGAACAACGGCATCAATGCAATACCCACTTTTTTTTATATAATTCATATATTAAGTAGTAAAGAGTCTCCCTTTGATAGATTAATACAAACAGTATAAAATCATTACTAGATATGTGTGACCATTACTTTTTAAATTACATTTGGTAGTGCACACCTAAGGAGATCTTGCTGAGCTGATCTACCTTTCCAGTTTCAATAAGCATGTGTTAACTAATTATATTTGGCGCTCATACAATTTTTCTTTCCACTCTATTTAATGAATATTTTCCATTGGGGTATGTATTCAATGCAAGTAATCATTGCATAAAGTGAAGTCTTGCCCCAGCATATGTAGAGGTAAAGCAATACTTATATGAAAGCTGTTTGTCTATATTGCAGAATGATTTGAGCGTCAAGTTTGCTATGCGTTCGTGCTTTAATGCGTGCAAGAGAAGTTGTAACTTGGTGAGAGGATTTCATGTGGGCAAGCATTTCTCCAACTTCAATTCTGAGGATGTTGTCTTAAAAACAGTTTGTGCTCAGTTGAGGCAAAGGAAGTGGAAACATGTGGAGCATATTTTGCCGAATCTCAGTAGTTCGTTGGTAAGTCGTGTTATTTGTGAACTTCAAAACTCCCCCCAGTTAGCATGGGAATTTTACAAATGGGTGGCAGGCAGGGAGAACTATGTACATTCATTAGCTTCTTCTTGTTCTATGATTCATGTCTTGGTACGTGGGAAGAGGTTTAATGATGCATTATTACTAATGAACGATTTAATGTGTGCAAAAGGCATGTTGCCGTCGCAGATTTTGCAAGCACTGCTAAGTAACTGTGAAATGTATGATTCAACTCCAGCTGTGTTTGACGCATTGGTTAGGGCATGTACCCTGATTGGGGACACAAAAGGTGCTCATGAGATTATTCAGCAGTCCAAACAGGCTGGCTTTATGGTTTCCATCCACGGTTGGAATAACTTTTTTAGTCATCTTTTGAAGCAGAATAATATTGTCCATTTTTGGAAGAGTTATAAGGAAGTGGTCTCAAATGGGTATATTGAGAATGTGTACTCTTTCAATTTGGTAATACATGCTCTTTGTAAGGAATATAAATTACTGGAAGCAGTATCAGTTTTCTATCGAATGCTGAAGAGAGGAATTTGGCCTAATGTGGTCACTTTTAACATGATCATTGATGGAGCTTGTCGGATGCATGATATGGAACTTGCACTCAAGCTTGTCAGGAAAATGGGAATAATGTCGAGAGAGCATGTTCAGCCTAATTCAGTCACATTCAATTGTATCATTAATGGGTTCTGCAAAACAGGGAGGATGGCTGCTGCAGAAGAAGTTTTTAATGAAATGATTACTCTAGGTATTGAGCCAAATGTTAGAACATATGCAACTCTAATTGATGGTTCTCCACGAGTGGGGAGTTTGAATGAGGCATTCCGATTGTGCAGTGAAATGGTGATGAGGAGATTGATGCCTAATTCTATTGTCTACAATTCTTTATTATATTGGCTTTACAAAGAAGGAGATTTGAAGGGTGCATCTTTATTGTTGTCCGACATGATTGAAAAACGTATATGCCCTGATAGTTTCACCTACTCTATCCTTCTAGAAGGGCTGTGCAGTAGTGGACATATGAATGAAGCTATCAAAATCCACAAGCTTATGCTAGAAAAGAACCTGGCAGAAGATAATTCTTGTTACAATATTCTAATCAAATATCTTTCTAGAAGCAAGCAGGATTTGGGAGCCTGGCAACTTGTGGGCAGCATGTTTGTCCGTGGTCTAGTTCCTGACATTGTAACATATGGCACTTTGATCGATGCGTACTGCAAGGAGGGGGATATAAGACTGGCAATTGAAGTTTATGATAACATAGCCAAGTTGGAAAAACATCCTAACCTTGTTATATACAATTCTGTTTTAAGTAGTTTCTGCAATGTGGCATTAATCGATGCAGCAGAATCTTTGGTGGATTCATTGGAGAGGATGGGATTGTTCGATTCCATAACCTATAATACTTTGTTACATGGATACTGTATGAGTGGGAATGTCGACATGGTATTTAATTTGGCTTCAAAAATTGGCGATGTAAATAGTATGGTGAACACAGTCACTTACAACATACTGATAAACTTTCTCTGCAAATTTGGTTGCATGTCACAGGCAAAGGAACTTTTAAAGGTTATGTGTACACGAGGAATGTTTCCTGACTCTGTAACTTATACTACTCTTATAAACAGTCTCAAGAAAAGTTGCAGTCCACAGGAAGTGATTGAATTCCATGACTACATGGTCCTCAATGGAGTAATTCCAGATGCCTATACATTTGAAGTAGTCGTGAAGCCATTGCTTGAAGAGGTGGATAAACATACTGGAAGTTAGCATGGCTGAACACAGTTTAGCAATGCAAGCTGCGTGCACAACTCCATTGTGGAAAGATAGTTACCTTAAATTTTTGAACTTTAGTTCTCTCAAAAAATCTCTCTCCTCAATGGAGACCAAGCTGGTCGGGTCATGTGAGAAATTGAAGTTTTCTCACTAAGCGGGATGGTTTGCTTGTGATCCATACCAAGAACATCTCTCTTCTTTTGTCGATCATCCTTTTGCTCTATTGGACATGCTCTTCTTGTTTGATCTGTTGAGGTAATGTCAGTTGGGCTACATGTTTTGTCCCATTTATTCCTTTCATTTCTCTGATACTTTCTCTTTAATGTTTGTCCATTGATCTGTCTATCTGAATTCTCAACTCACGCCTTCTCTCTCCATCCCAGGACCAAGGCTGCGTACTATTGCTGTTCTTTTTAATTCATTTCCTTGTAGAGCACAGAGATGGGATGACGTCACTGGGACATGGATTGAACTGCAAGATAGACGGGTTTGTTCAGGTTACAAAATTTCTTATATGAAAGTTGCTGCATTATACACACTGCAAAAATGTTTTACCTGGTTAGTTGCTACACTAAGTTTGATGAGATTGAACTGATTGTAGATAGTTGAGATTTTAATTACTTTGTGATCTAAAAAACTCCGTCTACAGCCTCTGCATTATACACACTGCAAAAATGTTTTACCTGGTTAGTTGTTACACTAAGTTTGATGAGATTGAACTGATTGTAGATAGTTGAGATTTTAATTACTCTGTGATCTAAAAAACTCCGTCTACAGCCTTACTTTAGAGTCATCTCCAATTTAGCTGATCTTACCAGTCCAATCTCTGATAATCAGACAACACCACTATTTTGCACTGCCTTTTGACCTTTTTCTTTTCATTTTGTTTGAGAACATATATGCTTGCAGTGTTTGCTTTTGGATTAGATGTTCAGTTTGTAGTTGTGATCTCTCTGAAATTTCCAAAGCCTTTTTTGCTTTTTGGTAAGTTAAACCCTAGTTTAAAGCAGCCTAAATAAAGAATCATTTTTCACTTCGCTTGGATTTGATCTTCGGCTACTTAGGCGCACTAGCTGGATGACTTGTCAATCTAGCTATGTTCTTGTTGACGCCTAAATTTTGGCGATCCAGTTAGTCGTTTATTGCATATAAAAATTAGGGATCGACCCCGACCTCTAAACAAAAAATATTAGTTAAATTGCATATAGACACTCGGAGCATTTCATTGATAGTTAATTAAGCCCATGGTGTGAGAAAATTCAGCCTAGCCCATGAGTATTATAAGAGCCGAAATTTTCCCATTGGATAATTGAGCAATTAATCTTGATTATTATTCAAATCTTGAAAGATAATTGTTCGATTTGGTTTGATATTATCAAGATTCTAAGAGATAATAAAAGTTTCATATCAGTAAAGTGTATCTCTTATAATTTAAAATTGGGAATTTTAATCTAAACCTAGTACTGTATAAAGGGACGTCCATTCACGTTTGAAGGGAGGGAGGCCACATAGTAGAACACAAGGCCACAAAATTTGACACACGACAGAAAAGAGAGAAGAGAAGTCGTGATAGATGGCCATAATAGAGAGAAAAACATGGCAGTGGCCTTGAAGATGCTGATCCAACATTGATGTGTGTGGTCTTTCTTGTGAGTGCGGTTTGACTTGGTCAAAGCATCCACTTGCGGTCAAATTCAAGATGCCCACCTGGAGGATTTTCGTGTCCCTCGCACGACACGGGTGAAGAACGGACGCTCCCTGCGTGCTTGCTGTTGCCATCTCGCCATTGGACCTTGCACTCACGCTGCTGCTGCGTCAGTCTCGGCAACGCAACTTCAACGACACTGACGCTCGCTGCCTTCATACGATTCATCACCACGAGTCCCTCGGTTTGTCTGACAAACGCCGGAGTTGCTGTCCCCATCGCGAGGCTTCCTGCACCAGGACATCCGCCTGCACCGAGAAGCTGCCCGCTGCCAAGCCGAGTCCCACTGCGAGCTGCTCCTCGCCGAGCCAGTCTGTGGCTTGGAATTTCTCTATTTTGCAGGTTTCTCTAAGCTTTTCCGTGAATCGAGGCAACCATTGAAACGACCAGCAGCCCCCGTCGCTGAACTCCGTGAAGACACTCAGCCTAGCACCTCATCCGCGGCTGTCCAACGCCGGTCATCCTTCTAGCCTCATCCGCAAGCCATGATCCGGTTTGATTCCAATAAGATTACACGTGTTCAAATTAGGTAATTATTCCATCCGATTTGATATAAATTGTTTAATTGCTTAATTCGGATAGATTTTGTTATCTAATTAATTTGATTGAGATATTAGGCATTATCCAATTAGGGATATTGATTGAGTCGATATAATTACTAATTTGATCCGTAAAGATTTCGGATCATTTTTTTAACTAATTCGACTTAATATTTGGGTAATTGTTGTGCCCAAAGATTGCGGTAATCTCTAATTTAATCCGCGAGATGATGGGTTATTTTTTAGATTATCGTAATCTTTGATTTGAGATTTTCGTGGATTACGTGTGCGGATTTGGTGAATATTATGTTGCGATGAGTGCTTATCCTTAGCTCGATTGTTTCCATAAAAAAAAATACCAAAAATATCATATGCATGCCATATAGTTTGCACGTTAGGAAATTACATGTCACGTAGATTAGACTTCATTTCAAGATAAAATAAAATCCCAAAAATATTTGATTATTTTGGTGTGACTAATTTATTTACTTTCTTGCAATTTGCTTGCTTTGTTATTTGAGTGTTAATTTCATTGATTGCGCACCCACATGATCACCTCTTGCATGTTAGTGGATAAGTTAAAATCAATTCAAGCTGCCTGCAAAATATTCTTCTAAGGTACCGAAAGGGCATTAGAGTAATCTAGCGTAACCAAGTTCCCGAACTCATAATCTATGATTCGTAGGAGTAAAGTAAATCTCCCAATACTTTACTTGGGTTTCTAATCTACCCACCAAAAATAGATTAGTGGCGACCCCTTAATGAAAATGATTTGCATGTTAAGAACTTGAACCAAGTTGCGAATTGGTATGGGCTTTGGAGAGCGTGAATTGGTATGGGCTTGGGAGAACCCGAGCTAGGTTTAAACTTAGTAATCCATTGACTGAACCTTAGGTGGTGTGCACCCGAGGTTAGGTCGCGACAGCTCTTCATCACAAAAGGGACCTCTTCACACCTGCCCCCATTATAATACCCATGCAACTGCTAATGGTGATCCTGAAGTACTGTTGGATCATTTGCTTCCACGAAATGATTACTGGTGAGGTCATTGGCTGCAGCATCTCTATTTGATGACTTGGTTTGAAAGTAAGCTGCATAGGCCATGTCGTTATTCTTTTCACCTACCAGGACACATCTTCTTTGGTAAAGCGAAACCCTGATAGCTCCAACGAAAAGACTTTCTAGGTGGATTAGTAATTTATATGCCGTTATACTCTTCCTGCGACCATGCTTCAATGCTCGTCTCTTGTTTACTGCTTTTAGAAGCTGTAATCAGCTTTTAATATCTGATCACGGCAGTGTTGTGTTTCTGCTTTTTCCATCCTTGACGAATGACTGTTCAGTTAAAAGCTTTGTCAAAGAACTCAATTTCACACTCTTGGACATGATCTTAATAGAAGTTTCAGGTGGAAGAATTAAATTCTGGAGAAGAAAACCTTGGTCTTTAATCTGCAAGAGAATCTTCTTGGAAAATGACGAATATGTATGCTCCAATGGCTTCTTCATTTGCTTGCTGGTGCAATTGAAACAACATTCTATTTTGTTGTTTTTCCTGCAAGAGAGTAAGATTTAATAGATGCTTGATAATACAGTCATCCAGACTTATCAGAGAATGGGGTCAAACCATAACTTGATATAGTCATGGAGATATTCCATGCTAGCTTGATTTCATTTTTCTGTCCTTCAGTCTCAACTTTTAACCTTCGTCTCATGACTCTAGTTCCTACTGATTGATTTTGTGAGTAACTTTGCTATTTACAGGCTGTGCACCTTTGACTGGTAAAAAGCTGCCGCTTTCAGATATCATCCCTGCAGAATCACTCTGGACATTTTTTCAGAAGCATGTACTCTTCCTTGAGTTCAGTTTGGACTGAGAAGTGACATTTCTCAGTTTCTTCTACTTCAAAGGTGGCATACAACTTTACCACTGATTGGTTATGTGGAATTAGTGCAACCGTGGATATAGTTATTGTTCCAAAACTGAACTGGATCGTTCTATTGGATTGTAAATTGGAAAACTGAAATCATCTCTTTTTCTTTTCTTGTCAAGCAAGAAAAAGGGAACAATCTTTTACATAACACCATTTTTGCCCCCGTCTATTCTGATTTTGCATGGTTCTGAATAATATCTACTATGCTACTGACAATAGTTTAAGTTGTAAATATGTTTTGCGATGATCCAGCAGAATATTGTTATTTAGTCTCTTTGCTAATTTCTTATGTTGGCTTCTGTTCTCACCTCCTCCACTCCAGGGAAAAAATGGGGACAGTCAGCGGATAAAGAGGTCAACAAGATGATCAATCACATGGTGTAGAGCTTCCATGATAAAAAAAAGTATCGTGCATTCTTCCCCCGATGCAGCACGGGTGCCTCTTTGTACAGATTTCGGTACACTGACTTGGTGTAGAACCATTAAGGAGATCACTTTCTTAACGATGCGGTATTGATGTTGGTGGTCTTTCTGTGTCTACCTCAAGGGGTCATTGAATCCACGATTCCCCAATAAGATGGGAGTAATTTTTTTAGTGAAAGAAATGATGAGTTGTTTGTAATGAGTTCAGAAATTTAACCACCAAGACTTTTTATTCCTTTTGGTTTCACTAAAAGATCGTATTTTGTTGACATAAATCATATGAAAGCTTAATGGTTATCTGGTATATGTGATGGATGACAGATCGCAATAAACCCGAAAAATCTTGGATCAGTGATCTCTCTGTGCCATTTGTTCTTGGACCGTCTCGGAATTCTGGTCCTATGGTGGAGGTGTTCATAGACCCTCTTCTTTTCTCTGCAACATTTATCAATTCTTCGTTGATTGAAACTCTTGCTGGTGAAGTTACAGAGCTGCCTCGTTAATGAAGATAGCATCTTATTACTCTGTGCTATGCTTGAGTGGATATGTTCTTTAATTAGGGAGTAAAAACAATTCTCACTCATGCTTCTTATGTTCTCGTGTGAACATCTCCAACCATTCCATGAAACAGGTCGAGTGAAAAATGTTACCCTCAAGCTAGAGGAACTCCTAGCGTTACCATGCAAAAAGTGAAAATGCAAAGCGCTATTTTTCGTTAGACCGCCTCAAAGCAAACTTGTGTATATCAATGGTGAAAATAAGGATAGGCTTATGCTTCAGGCAATTTGGCTTAGAAAAAACTACTCGAATAAAGGATGAAAAGTACCATGTTTTGCAGGTAAGGGTAACAGACATTTCAGGTGAAGGAGGGGCGTTTTTCAATTATGTAAAGAAAGTGCCGGATTAATTGAATGACGGCCAATAATGCGCCGCAACCCTTAAATTGATTCTGTGGAGGTATCACGGGCCAAAGGTTATATGGACTTGAACTAAGCTTTTTCACGAACAAGAGACTAATAAGTCCATCGAACGCACCCAAGTACGTGATGTTTTTAAATGGTTTGACATAATTCACAGATAAAATACGTAGTGCTAATAAAAAGTAAGGATAGTAAAATCTCGATAGGCGTTCGTTAGAGTTTAAATTATAGAAAGTTCCCAGCTCCCATACAACTTCTGATGATTTTACCAAGAAGACTGAATCTTGTTTCATAAAGCTAGTGTTAGGACACTCTGAACATACATGGAGGCAAACCGTCAAATACAAGCAGAAAAAGGAACAGAAGTGCATAGAAAGACAATACTAAATCGCAATTAGCAAATTAGCGTTGCGTGATAAGCAAACATTAGCAAACAGAGTACTAAGTTGCAATTACACAATTTCACTCCACGTTAAATGGGTACAGCAATTGATATGTTCTCAAGCTCCCAGCAATGCCACTATCAAGAGTTCGATACTCGGTCAAGTGTACACATAAAGATTCAGTAAAAGAAGCAAGTCAGCATACCTAAGGCTACACTACAGCAACTTTATTCTTGATTCCTGGGGACCTGCAACTTAGGCATACAAACATTTGAGGAAAAAGAAATTAATGCAATCGTAATTAAGAATATGTCAGACCAATGATTAGATTCAGCAAACCGTTTTATACCCTCTGATGTTAACATGTCTCTACTGTAGAATAATTGGCTGTTGACACTATCATTGACCCATCTCAATTTTGCCCAGTAGGTTTTAACAGGAATTTTTCACACTCAGACGATGAAGAGTTTGCTCTGATATCAAACAATTCTCAACAATTCCATGCACACTGCAAAATTCTTAATCTTAGATGCATCTACCCAACTCCTGATGCTCACCCATAAAGTCCCTTGTATATCCCAAATATTCAACTCGAGTATTTTAAGCTAAATTCAGCTTCTATATAGTGATCCTGGTCACATCCGTGGATCAAAACTCTCTTCAAGAGAGGAAAAAATAAAATGCTGAACATTATAAGCTTCAGAAGAGCATAGCCTAATACTTTCAGTAATCTACATTGGCATCCATGCCAATTTTGGAAGAAATGACCTGCCGAAGTTAAATGCTCTAAGAATATTAATACCCTATTCCTCAATCAAGACAGCGGGGAGAGCTGGCCAAACGGTCAGTGGAAAGAAACATCTTTTTCTACACAGCCAAAAGATCTACAATCATTTCTCTTAGACAGCCACTTACTTCTCTTCCCCTAAGACCAAGTTACAAACAAAGGTTATAAACTCATCAACTATGCCAACATAATAAAAACAAGGAAAGTATGATGAACATGGAGAATTATTTGCATGTGTTCTATAATTGCTCCAATGAAAGGTTAAAGGTAGAGGATGCCCGAAAATGTTACAAATGCTTAGTAGCTATAAGAGAGTACAATGCATAAGAAAATCAATTCACTTGGAGTGACGAAAGCAAGGGGGTGGACTTATGTAGCTGGCAAATGACAATTCTGAGAAGCAAAAACAAAGAACTTTACCTGAGCTGACCCCATTCAACTAAAGTAAGACCAAGAACCCAAATGGAACCTGAGACAGAGCCAGAATACCAAGTCCTAACAGAAGTCATCCTTAATCGAAGCCTAAGAGCGATCTATTATTCCAAAATAACACTTGATTGATCATTTTTTTTTTCATATGACATTTCGTTATTCACCAAAGCAAATATTCTGATGAATGGATGTTCTCACATGAAGTTACTTTCAAGTTAACATCATGAAGGTTGCAACTTTTACCTGCTTTTGCGAATATCGATCAAAGAAGCAACCATGTCTAGCGCCAGTTGCCACTCATTGTAGCAACCTGTCTCAGTCAATATGGAGCTGCAACTCCATCTTTCTACAAATTTACAACTCTGGCACAAATGATGATTGTTCTTGCTGGTCCAAAACTAAACAGAAGCAGATCTGGTGCTACTGTCTCCATAATCAGTCAAATTACCAAAGAAAGTGAGGAAACAAAGCAAGATCAATTTCTCCACAAAGTTATAGACCTCTCAAAAATAAATGTTCTTCAAAAGTACACTAAGACAAGAATTACGCCAGATAAATACACAGGAATGTTTTTTTCAAAGGATAAATCGAGTCTTGAAATTCTTCAACTATATAGAGTTAAGAGAGATATCTGCAGGTCATAGTGCAACAGAAGATCAGACCCAAGAACAGAAAATTCGGAATATTCACTGGTTTATCTTCATATCAAATATAGAATGTTATAGCTCAGTAAAACCCTCTTCCCATCATGACGGTCCAGTATTTCCATAACTACTGTAACTAAATTTCTATTAAGTTCCTGCACTTACACTTGTTCACATATTTGAATCATAATACAGTTAAGAAAGTCATAATCCTTGTCTGAAAAGGCTAGACAGCACCATTTCAACTTAATAAACTCTGCTTCAAGAAGCAAGTTCTCACTTTTATTGCAATGTCAATATCTCCTAGCAGTAGCAAATTACAAAACAACATTTTATGGAGCTATAAGCAAGTTTGAACTAAGTTTAGATCCCCGTAACCAATAACAATATTGCCAAGGTAATATGTTAGCAATTAACACATTTACGCATCTGAATCCAGTTTTAATTGAAGATGATCTGTGATCTAGCTTCTTAGTTATTTTTGCTTATACAAATATATATTAAAGTTTCTTTTCTGCTTAATTCCCCCAAATATTATCTTCAGCTGATGTTTCTGTCAATCAGACTGTTATACTAATTGCTGAAGAGGTATAAAAAAGCGTACATCAGGCATTAATTTCAATTCCTTTATGTAGGGGAAAAAGGTCTCGAGAGATCAAGAAAATTTAGCTTCCTAGCCTAACATAAGAAGCCAGGATCAGAAATGCTCAAATCAATAATATAAAGTTTCCTCACACGCCCCCATGAAGAATCGATAGCTCATTTTTTAACCGCAGCACAAATAGCCAAGCTCTTTCTGGAACCATCTTTTTACAAAATTAGCCAATACACTCCGTGGAACTGTCAATAGGAAGGGATAAATGGAAAAACATCGAAGCAATTGAAGGAGACTCAGAAATATGACAATTTATGCTTTGACCTATAACAATTATCTAAACACCAAGTAAAAGAAAACAACAGTAAGAGGGCAAACGATAGGGACAATGGACTACTATTTAAGACATGTAGATGACGAGGGTTCTTAATCCTTGTTACCAAATCTTCTAGCAATTATAGGACGTACATCATCAGCCTCAACCAGAGTCTCTAAAAAGGGAAGGAGTGATACTAATGCACAATCTGATGGATCATCAAACCAACTCTTAATTGGAATTCCATTATTCACTTGCAACCGGAAGACCTGAAATAATCAAAGTGAAGCAACCCCCAAAAGTGAGAATTCTATGTAAGGCAAAAGAATTTCTATTTTTCTTCACAACACTTCTTTGCAAATATAGTATGTATCATTAGGATGAATTTGCACAAAACACTCTGAATTTGCACTTTTCTTCTATAGATTTAAACCTATTGTGTGCGTCCTCAGCAAATAACTAATTGGATTCCCCAATCAACACCTTTTTAATTGATTTGTACCACAAATCATAACTGAGTTTCTTAACTTTCTTATAGTCAAAAAATTCAGACAGATTTAACCGACAGTTTCATAGAGGATTATTGATATTGCAGTCGAACTTCAATTTTCAGGGCGAAAACCAGAAGCTTTTAAACTAGAGAGTGGATAAGGTAATCAAATTAAAAGTACATGGGTAAAGCACAACTGACACCGCAAAAAATATGAGTACTTGCGGTAAGCACAATAAGGAAAATGAAAGTGGAAGTCAGCAAGAGGCAAAAATTGTAAATTAATAGGAAGTGGACAAGAGAGTACCTGTGGAGAATTATCAATAATAGCAACTTTAGCCAAGTCAACACCTAAGACGGTCAAATCTTTCGTGTAAGTGCCATCACAAAAAGTACATGATTCACGATAAAGTCGATGTGATATTAGCTTTTGGTATGGATCCAGTATGTCAAGCAGTTGCTCTGCATAGATGCTTTGGCTGGCTGTAAAGATTACGACATTGAACATGTCTGCAACTCTCTCCAAGAAGGTTTGCAGATAAGGCCTTTTTTTGACATATACAGTGTGCTCTTTCATATTGAAAAAGACAGTAAAGGTAAAATCAGCATCATCACAGTGCTCCAATGTAGAATGGACGAGTGTCTCTGCAACAATTACAACCGAGTGCAATGGCACTTCATATTAGATATTATTCATGTATGTATCATGGGCTAAGTAAATAAGAGAATCTAATTAAGGCAATCGATTTCACTGGCAGATGCACTTTAAAGCATCTTCTCGAAAGATTAAACATGGAACAGACAAAAACAGAAATAATATCCACAGCCAAGTATGGACGCAAAATTATTGGAAAACACCAGCTTTTATGCCTGTAAATTACTTGCAAGCCAACCGCAAATATTTCTGTCAATTCTACAGAGCTTCTTGGATTTTTGGTTAATTCTATCAAACAGACACTAATTTGCTTAAAAAGGGTTGAGACCTAGTCAGCAAACTTGTGTCATTGGTGCGCTTTCATCTTCTAGCTCTCTTTTCTTTTTTGGGGGCAATCAGGTCATCTACCTCACTTGATATGAGTCTTTTTTTCACTGGCTGTTACTGACATTGAACACTGTCAAATGGCTGACTTTTTCGAAAATTGACATTTTATGCAAATGCAGTTCCACACACACACACACACACACACAGACGTCGAGAGGGGGTTTGTAGTTGCCCATGCAAACATGGGCAAGGGTAGGTGAGGGTGTGGAACTGTTGAGAGTATTTGGCCGATAGGGGCATGTTTGTCTATTTCCTTTATTATTTTATGTATTGCGGCAATAAGGATAATATTGTAATTTTGGCCTTTTGGCTTTATTACAAATAGATAGCTTGGGGTCACGTAGACCTAACCAGGCATTCAGTTCAGCTTTTCTCTCAACAGCAACCCTTGACAATGCATCGCCAGTGCCTGGCAGTGTCAAGCAACCCTGGCCAGCCACTTACCAGGGTCCTGCCACTCTCTCTCTCTCTCTCTCTCTCTCTCTCTCTCTCAGAGGATATGGCAACACTCCTACCTCCTTTGTAATCAGACACTGATGTCAGTAATCGTTAGTGATGATGGACGTGACTGCTCGAACCCAAGAGACCAAGAAGATGTCATTACTCAAAAAAGACAAAAAAAAAAAGTAGAACTCCTATAAGTTAGCTGACATAACCCCTTATCTCAATGGGATCTTTAGCATCGTATGAATGTGAATAATTTAGAGAATAACTTACACTTTGTATTCTTGAACTTCTTTCCCAGAATATAATGGAAGCTAAAAGTGAAATAGTGGAAAGCATCCTTAAGTGTTTGAGAAAAAAAGGTTTAACTGTTTATTTTGAAGGGGAAAAATCCAAATTCTTTTGCAGAAGAATAGTTTGACTAACAGGCACCATTCACATTCATAGATGCCAGTCATTAGAGTTCAGAAACTTCTCTTGCCTCACATAATACAGTTACAGTGGCAACAAAAAAGAACAAGACAGCTACAAACTCATCTTTACCAATTAAACTTATACGATCCTTATATTATACTTTAAATTTTTGCACAACTTGCAAGAATGCCCAAGTTTCATACAAAATTGTCCTTATCACTCAAAATTGTATAACATATCCGGCTCTCTGCTTCTAGAATAGACAGCAAACATAAGCTTATTTACAATATTCATTTTTTTCCTGATGGAAAAATCATAGATAAGACTCTGTCATGGGCTTTCATAAGACAACGAAACTAACAACAAATATTGATACATGACTATGAACGGTGATGATTAGTAGAGGAAAGGCAGCCCCAGATGAATACTGCATTCTTTTAGAAGAAGAGTGACTAATCATTTCCGAAATTGACATTAAAAGTGACAGAACCTTAGCAGGTGTCATAGTATCTTCACAAGACATTGACTTTGGATTCTGACGCTTTTCTGTATAAAGGAGAAAATGGAACAACAATATTTTCCTTTTAAGGGATAAGAAACAAAGAGGAGAGAAGAGCGTGCAGGATCAAAAGTTTCTCCCTAGGCTATGAAAATTGTTCTCGACAGATTTTTCTTTCAGTCTACCTATCCATACGCATAGATAATTATAATCGTTTATATACTTCAACCAGAGAGAGATAGAGAGAGAGAGAGAGAGAGAGAGAGAGAGAGGGGCAAATTATAAACTAGGCTTCTTACCATCAAGATCAAGCACCAGTGTCACAGACTTCCTTTTCTGAATTTCCTTGTGCGATGCTGTGGGTTGAAAACTCGACACTTCATCGGACAAGTCAGGTAATGTTCTGATGAACAACCGTGGGTCGAAGCACTCTGCTTCGTCCATATCAGAATGGCATTCTGATTCAGAGTTGTAGCATCTCATCTGATCAATTGACATATAAAAGCTGGATCCATTTGGATTAACTGTTCCTTCTTCATGCGACTTGGTATCTTCAATTGCACTAGCAATAAGTGTACTCCCTAGAAGTGGTACCATCATGTATTTGTCAGAAACATCAAACAACATACTTGACTCATCACCCTTGTACCCAGTTAAAGGCGTTAAATCAGTCACATCCTCATCATCCATTGTAACATCATCAGGTCGTAAACCCGCTATAAACATGTCAGAGACATAGAAATCTGATATACTGCAACTTTGGTAGTCACATGACCCCTTGTATTCAAAGCTTTCATCTGCCTCCAACAATGCCACACCAAAATCACAAGTGCTCCCTACCAAATCTGCTAATGAAATCAGGCATTCAAATTAAGCTCGTCAAAAACTAATAACTCTATGAAGGCATGCACACCAGGAAAATAAAATAGCCTCAACTCGACAAGCGGGATCAGCAGTTCCTCGTTAAACAAGTAATGTTCATACACAATAATATTGAAGTGACCGAATGATCTCACAAGTAAAGGATAACGAAACCTGCTTCCATTTAAGAAGCAAGAATTTTAAGGATTGAGACATGGGATTAAATTTGTGGAGTATAATTGTGCATTAATGAAAAGAAACACCCTGTGGAGATTGAATACACTATCAGGTAAAATTATGGCATCCTTGGCAGCAAAGGATGCTTACCCAATGCCGTATCCAACAAGGAAAAATGGTGCTTAAAAGAAAGGTAGGGGAAAAACAGGATATTAGTCACATCAATTTAGATAAACAACAGTTACATGATCTCTCCAACAAGAACTCGTTCTCTCCCTTATGGTAGTTGCAGCAGAGTAACAAAAGGAATGTAAACAGATGACCTGACAAGAGAGAGCGCAAAAGATACTATCTAGAAGCAGGAACGTCTTTAATGGATGAGAGTCAAAACAGTACCAATGGAAACACTTTCTATGCTGAGGAGTTCATCAGGCTCCAAAATGGGAGAAAAAATAGTCTCCAGATTAGTTGGACTGGAATGGGCATGTTCCTGTAATTAGCAAACTCCAACTGTTACATTGGCACAGGATACATGACAGTAATGACTATTTCAGAGCATATTGAAGAAGCAAGCTAGATTCTGCAGATTGGATATACAGCTAGAAATTACTGAGAAGTTGCCCCACTGAAGACAAAATTTATGAAATTCGATTAAAAAAAAGACTGCTTTTAAAAAAAAATAACTTTCTCTATTGCTGAGCTAATTTCCTTGGTTAAATATCTGCATGTTTCAACTTGATAATACAGTTTCCAATTATGATCCTTTTCAGTTTCACTTAACACTTGATAATATGTCATGTTGTTTGTGCCCACCTAACTAATCATTCTAGTCCTCCCTGTGTTTTCACACTTCAACATATATTTAATCACAAATGAATATAAAAATAGATGCATCACACAAGTAACCAAAAGGAAAAGCTAGCCTTAGAGATTCATTTCAGACAAACAATTAATGAGAGAACAAAAATCAGAATATGAATGCATAACTGAGTTAATATCTAGCTAAAAACGATAAGAGAAAAGTGCCAAATCCTGACTGATGCTCTCTCACACTTCCCAAGTACATAGATTTGTCAGATCTATCCTGATTATCTGTAGCATCATCCTGCCAGTTTATTAATGCTAGTTAGTGATGAAGAAGCCTGCAGGTTTGAGGGATGAGTAAATTCCTTCACACTTTTGGCATGACTACTTATGAAGTCTTTGGCAAATTGAAAGGCTTATTCAAACACAATTTGGCCCATATAAAATTAAACATTAAATTAAATTTTAAATAGTTTTGCTCATCAGAAAAACAGAGAGTGGTGAAATCTAAAGAATAAAATACCATTTTTCCTGAAGAAGATGAATCAGCTAGAAATGACACCTGCTTCTCTACATAACCCTTTTCCTCATCGAGTTGTCCCGGTTTGGCAATGGCTCCATTGCAGTCACTGTCTTGAGTGGCCACTTCTCTGTCTGAAATAGTAGGCACAGAATACAGAATGCTCAATGGAGAGAAGCTGATGATGCAAATGATCACTATATTTGCTGCCTTTGTGAAAATATATTGGTTGCACCTCATTGTATCCAGTGTCACTAATGCAAGATGTGACACATTCAATTATGTTCATATTTAATATATTCAGTAGGAGGAAAGTTCAAAAGTTCAACATATACAATAATCAACAACAAGTGGGTAACTGAATTTTCCATCAACTGTTACATCATGGGAAATCTATCGCATTGAAACTGTTTTATTTTTCATCAATGCTATAAACACAATGAAGTCCATAAAACAAATACAAAACGATTTCCACTAGATTACTATTTAACTGGGAAAGGAAACTGAATGAACAAAATGCAGTTATGAGAAAGGTTATTAGCGATTCACCTGATATTTTAACTTGAGGACACATCACAGGAAACAACAGAAACAGGGATAAACTTCATGCAGTTAGTAAAAGGACAGCTAAAGAATAAAAGACGAAAGATTGTGATTGCGTACCAGTGGAGAAACCCAGAGAAGAAAAGTCAGATTCTGCAGTTTGTTGAGTAGTTGAAAAATCAGAACATGATTTTTTTGAAACTTTACATGATTTAGGACATACACAAAGACCATTCGCTTCTCTTAAAGAGGCTTTGCCTGGTTTGCTTTTCATTCTTAATGCTGGCATTTGATTGACGGTTCTGGTATAAATGACAATCTTGACCCAGAAACATCAGCTTAGGAAGCAAGCGCCCTTCAATCAATCAACTGCAGCAGAAGAAGTATGACGATTATGAAAGCCTGCATAAACAATGAAACGCACATGCTGGAAAACAATAGGGAAGAATGGCATGAAGCATCTCTAAGTCGTGCAATACGCTAAAGGAAAAACATCAAATCCACAATGAACCATTCACCCAAGGCAATCCTTTAAAAAACTGGTAGAAATTTCTCATACGCAATTTTTTTAATAATAAAGAGAATGCAATTAAGAAAATACCAAGGGTTATTGCCCTTCTACAAAATGGCTTCAGAAGGGAAGCCACCCATACACTAAATTATGCACGAAAGATAGTTTCTAACATTTCCAACAAACTAGAACTACCCAATCCAATATACCCACAATACTAGAAGTGAAGTGTGTAAAAACTAATTATTGCTAAAAGAATCCCAAGAGGATTCATCTCATTGAAATGCCCTCTTGTTTCTTTCTTCCCAAGTGAGTCAAAATACGAGCAGAGGAATCATCTATCAGTATTTCTTCTTTCCAACACACAAATCAATGGCCCCTCTGCAAGCCCAAAGTTCATGATGGGAACTACTTCAAATAACCCACTTTACTACTAAAATAGCTAAAAAAGTATTCCAAATCTATCAATCCAATTTCAATGGAAAACAAGTGTTTCTTCTCTTGAACAAATAATCGTTTCACGGACTTAATCTCTTCTTAATTTCTGGATGATCGGGTTCCAAGCACTCTTTTCTTAGTATGTGGATCCCAACAACAGTCCTAGATATCTTATAGGCAACTTGGCTTCCTTACAACCCAGAATTCAAGTAAGCACATGCACATTTAAATTTTTGCCCATTGGAATGATTTCACTCTTTCGGAAGTGCACTCTCGGTCCTGATACCGCTTCAAGGATAACTCAATGCACCTCAAGTGTAGAATGGCTGCATATCATTGTCAATGACATTGACGGGGTCATCTATAGATAAAAGATGAGAAATGGAAACATCATTACAAGCATTGCCAACCCTGAACAAACTAATCAAACCTTCACCAACAGCTTCAAATCCCTCCATAACCAACACAAATAAGAACTTGACAATGGATCCCCCTGCTTCACATCCTCTAAAAGATTCGAAAACCTCCTCAACCCCATTGCACAAAACTGAGAAAATTGGTGATGAAATGCATTTGGAATCCACTAATACCATCGGTTGCCAAAGCCCACTCATCTCAGCATTATACATCCAGAACTCCCACGAGACAAGATCATAGGCCTTTCTCCAAATCCAACTTGCAAATACCTTTTCTAAGGCAATCATCTAAAGTCTCATTGGCAATCGGAGCAACATCCAAAATATGTCTACCTTCTGAAAGAGTGTTTTAGTACGGTCCTACTAGATGAGGTAAATCCTTCCTGAAACAACCAGCAATGAAATTCGCACTAATCTTATAGGACAATGCTCACCAGACTATGGGAGGAAAATCCTTGAGAGTATTGCACTGGTCGTCTTAACAATCAAGACTAAGAATGTACGATTGAGGCTACCCACAATCTCTCTGCAACTAGGGAACTCATTGAAAACTTTCAATAGATCTCCACCAACAAACTCCCAATTATCATGGAAGATTCAACGTGAAAGCAACCAGATCAGGTGCCTTATCACCTCTGCTGTCCATGGTTGCTCTTGTAATCTCCTCCTCCTCCTCCTCCTCCTTGGAAGGCATTTGCCAAATCTCAGCCATACAAGTAGCAAGAGTAGTCAAAGTCAATAATCCTCATAAATAAACCATTGACACAGAAAGTACGACCTCTGTTCATGTCACACCAAAACACAGTGCCAGTACCCAAGGCTAAAATAAGTTTTCTCAATATCAAGCAAAGATCTAAATTTATTCATGGTTTGATCATATTATATATCTCTCAGCACCAGGGATAGAGGCTTATACCACGTATATATATGCCCAAACATGACATATTTACGCAATTGGTGATAAGACAAACAATTTATCTCTTTGCAACCAAATCACAAACAAAGATCCACTACTTGGAACACTGAGTAATGCAATTGCCTGGTTTAAGAATGGTTAAATTGAAAAAGAAATTACAAAAAAAACCCACCCTTTATTTGGTTCCTGTAAATGATAACCTCAAGATAAACCATAACCTCAGAAACCTCAAACTACCTGAGAAATGAACCTTCCCCAGTCAATTCAACAAATACATACACGGCATCCATTTGACATTCTGTTCTTCACTATCCACCTAGCCAAAAAACAGGACTACATGACATCCAAAAGAAGAACAGCCACAATATCAGAAAAATTTCGGAGAAGGCAGAGTTGCCGAATGCATCACTGCAACTTCAAGGGCTCACGAACATAGAAAGAGCAAAGGAAACGATAGACGTTCAAATTAAGCGGAGCGTGCGATTATGATCCACCCAATTAGAAGAGAAGTTGACGAGCTCACGAGAATTCCTCCCCCCCCAGAGACCAAGTCAACTTAGTCAACCGGCACACGGCAAACTCATCCTCATCAACAAAATTCGCCAAAAAGAAGAGAAAAGCAGCAGCAAAAGAACCCACCGAGCCTCGCTGCAGCTGTCACGTTTAACAATCACAAAAAAGAGTCGAACTTGCAGACAATCAACCACGAGCTAAGGAAGAAAAGAAACGAAACAGACACAGACATGGCCCCCGGTAGAAACCCAGAAGCGAAAGACCGCACAAAGCGCAAAAATCCTCGAATCTGAGCGTCAACGGCCAGAGCCACGGGAAGTCAAACCGAAGTCGTCGCCGCTTTTCAGCGAACGCGAACGCAACCGAAGACGACCAAAACGACACGCAGCTCCGAGAAGCCGCAGAGGCGAGAGGAGGACGTCGCGGGGAGCACAAATTACGCAGCTCACGCTCGCTCGTCCAAGAGAGAGATAGAGAGAGAGAGAGAGAGAGGAGTTCATACGACGGCTGCACAGTCACGACAAGAAGCCGCGAGTCCTCCCCCGGCGAGGAAGGCGCGATCACGCGGCGGAGCGGGAAGCGGGGTCGGGAGGGAGGATTCCGGCGAGCGGCGGAGCCGGAGGACATGCCCAGCGGGAGCTCGATCTTAGAGAGAGAGAGAGAGGAGAGAGAGAAGATGAAGATGAGACTTTTGTTGTTGTTGTTGTTTTTCTCTCTCTTCTCTCCTCTCTCTTAACTTCCACGAACGGTCAGCGGAAGAAATGGTGCTGCTCCCGCGAGTGGACACGTGGACGGCCCGGATCGGATCCTTCCCCCTCCCGCGGGCGGGGCGGGGCGGGGCGCGAGCGACCGGTGGAGCGGCGCCACGTGGGCCGCGGCGGGGGGGGGCCGGCTCAGCGCGACGCGTCCGGCACGAGCGGAGGAAGACGGCGGCGCGCGTGTGGTCCGGAGGAGGGAGGACCGCGCTCCTCCTCCATTGCTTCCCCACATGGGTTCTCGGCTTTTCCCCCCCGCGCTTTCTTTTGTAATGGCGTGGGAGTTTGATGCCAAAAAAGCACGAGAAATGGCAGGCGACTCGAGGGCTAATGACATGAATAATTCTTGAATTTTGACTTAACGTGTCATGTGATTCATGAATTTTATCCCAACGTGCGATATGATCCCTGAGCTTGTGATTTGTTCGATGCGGTCCCTAGACTTTTTGGACATGTTCAATTTAGTTACCGAATTATATGAAAATATTTAATATTGCACTTGCGTCAATTCAAGTTCGGGAACAACATTGAACATTGCCAGAAAGTGCGGTAACTAAATTGAATATGTACCAAAAGTTAAGGGACCTCATTGAACAAATTAAAAGTTCAAGAGCCACATTACACATTAAGCAAAAATTTATAGACCATTGTTGTCATTTTCCTTTTACATGACAAGGAACACGGCACGACTTAAAATACGAATCATATAGCAGATTTTGAATATGACACGATTAGAGGTGAGATCATTAGGCAGATTCAGGGCCGGCTATTGTGTTGCCCAAACTCGCCCATCGCATTTAATTTAAGTAAGATTTTTTAGGTCGGGCTCAACCTCTAAAATCTACCTCATATAATATATATACATCTCAAAACTCAATTAAATCTAATAAATATTGTCAAACTTATCATATCCAAAACGCCACTACCAAATGCTCCCGTCGATAACTCTCTCGTCCTAGCTGCCGCTAGCTAAAGAACTTTAAAAAATAAGTGGAAATAATTGTATAAATAACTCACAATTTAGTGAGTAGTATAGATCACTTCTAAGTAAATCTAATATTCGGTGTGGATCTTTATAAAATAATATCATAACTCACCTATCCCAAATATAGTATATAATATATGTAAATTATCAAAAAATAATTAGTTATATCATTTTAACAAACCTTTTACGTATCAAAATTACTTGTCAAATCAACGATAACAAATCAACGATCAATGGTCTATTCTATTGATCAATTCATAATAAATCAAATATCAATGGTCTGTTCTATTAATCAATCTGATGTTCAATATCTAACTATGGTCACGCTTAAGATTAGGTCTCCACCTATACCAGCCGGTAATTTGGCCCAAACAAACATCAAGTATGCATATTAACCACTTATTGGGTTCATGAGCATAATCACTAACATCATTGTCCAATGACCAACAAATCAAATCAAGAATCCATCTCAAAACTCAAGTTCACTAACCAAACATATAACTTTTCACAATTCAATTCATCAAATAGAGTACCTCTTATAAACCGAATTCGTAAATCAATAACCTTTTGTAATTCTTTTAATAATTTTTTTGCAAACTATTTGCAGGCAATATGCTCAAAGTATACTCAAAATATACTATGCCATTTCAAATAGACAAAAAAGGGTAGTAAATATCCGATTCGGTTTTATGCATCCAATATTTTATATGCACGGCCTTTTCTATTCAAAGGAATATCAAACTATGTAATGCCTCTTTAAATCATATTATATCTAATTCCTATTATTTTTAAAACATTAGTTTACAAAACCGAAAAAAGACATAAGCATTGCACAATGTAAGCTACCCGAGTCGACGAACTCGTAATTCCATTGATTAAGCGATAAATCATGTCAAAATCAAGTAGAACGAAACTGTAACTAAATTAACGACTCGACTAAACTATGCTTATTCAACGATCAACCAACTCCTATACGCCAATGAAAGGCTCACCCATGATAGACATGTGTTGTTGTTCGCTACACACAGCTCGCACACTGAATTTGATCGAGCAACAACTCTCTTCAACTAAGCTTACTAGCGAAAGAGAGCCCTTTTAAAGTATGAAAACGTCCTAAGCTTTGCCAACTCAAAAGACGGCCGGAGATGGGCAAAAACCATTACCGAAAACAGAAAAATCCGTAATTAAGTCCGGCAGCGTACGCAGAACTTTGAAAATTCGCTCCGATTGAATTGTAACCCCAAAACGATTTCCGTCAACTCTCACGGCTCCACATTACCCTAAACTTTCATTTCCCCGTGATTCTATAGTTTAACGACTCCTAAATGAAGCGCAGCAGCTCGAAGTTGACATAGATTCAAATTAATGCCCTAACTTAAAAAATTCTTTCACTTAGACGAGTAAAAGTTTGGAGTATTCACAGGGCTCTACGAAACAGAGTTAATTTGACTCGTCGAGAAATCCTGAGCATGGGAGCGCAAAATGCAGAGTTCCCGCGCTCCGGCATTCCTCCTCGGTTTCTCCTGTGTGTTGGATGACTGACCCCTCTCTCTCTCTATCTCTCTCAATCTCCCACTTAGTTCACGAGCGCAGCAAGAGAGAGGGAAGAAGAAGGCTTTTCAGATTTATTTGGGCTGAGAGTATTGTGGGCTCGGGGCTTCGGGCCTTCTATATTTATAATTTGGCCCAAATGTTACAATTGCTGATAAGAGCTTTTGAGAATCACGAAGTGTTTTGTGGCAAAGGATGTTGGAGTTGACGAATATTTCGGGAACCCTTGTTTCTCACACCGGGTATGTCCACGTGAGCTTAGAAAAACTGAAGTGTTATCCGACGACATATGATCCCTGCGTGTGGAATGCGGGGGTTCGGGGGCGGCGCCCCCGACACGGGTGTCCCTGCTTTGCACGGTCGGCGGGCGGGGTTCGGGCGGCGCCCCGGACGGAAGTCTCCACAAGCCGGTCGTGGACGGCCATTGCCCCAGCTGGCCACAGTGAGCGGGCGGATGCTCGAGGGCAGCGCCCCCGAAACCTCAACGGGTTTGAGCTTTTATTTAAGTTGACCCGTATGGTGCGAGATTAAGAGATTTCGTATAGATTTAGGTTTTGGGCCCGTTTGGGGCACATATATATTTTGCTCATTTTTCTGATCATTGTAACGAGTTGAGTGGCTGTAAACCGAAAATATAGTGAAATCTCTCTGCAGGACGTAGCCCTATTCGAGGGTGAACCTGGGTAAATTCATGCATCGTCTATTTTCTCTAATTTCTACGCGATCGTTCTGTTTCGGTTCTCAATACATCCCTTCAAAGGAAACACTCATGGATGAGGGAGGATTCGCATATCGAAGTATTAAAACCAGATTTCACTGAGAATATACATACAATGCCAATCATGGGAAGGACTACTGTTTGGTCTTCCTGCTTTGTAAGTCAAATCGACTTACTATCTCATTGTTAAGTAAGTAACGAACTCGTGACGCCTCTGGATTAAATCACCGAGTATCGTTCGTTCTGGCACGTCTTATTCCTAAGCTAAGTATTGCCGTTACGTCAAAAGGCGCATTCGCGAGTTAACATGAGATGATTGTCGGACCGGGTCGTTGCGGCACAATTACCCTAAAAAAAAATCCAAGATTTACCATAATTTGGTGTAAATGTGAGATGAAAATGGTATAGTTGTACTTGTTTGGGATTTTTTGTGACACAAAAATTAGTTTGATAATGTATCGCGGGTGTATCGGTCTAGGAGTTTTTGTGACATAAAAATTAATTTAGGGTAAATGTGACACGTGCGTACTAATTAGTCTAGGATTTTTTTTTTGTAGCATTAGCCCTAAATAAAATTCCTTCAATTGAGCACGTTCCCAACATATACAAAGCTAGCGAAGAGCCCCAAACTTTTTTCTCGACTCATCGTTAAAAATAAAGTAGTTCACTTACGAAACACAATATTCTCATAAGAAAAATACAACGAGTCAATCTAGTGCAGGAATAATTCGTCCAATAAAAAGTTCAAATGATACTATGAAAATTGTTAGAGATACATCTCTAGGACATTTTCTTACTGTTAAACATAAGAAGAATATTTCTCTTAATTCTCCGTATCTTTCAGGATTACGTACATAGCTCCATTTAATTGTACATATCATTGATTGATGCATTACCTTATATAATAATCAAATAAAGCCTATAAATAGGCTTATGTACTCTTCATTGTTTAATACAGGAATATAACAGAAATTCCACATTTCTCTTTTTCGCATATTTCTTGTAAGATGAAGAATTTTTATTTAGACATCTTAATCAAGTTTTATCAATTTTTCGAGTCATGTTTGAAAGCGAAACTCAAGAGAAGAACTAAGGATAAATTGGGTATCTAAAAAATAACTCTGTCTCGCAAAATTAATTGTGTACTCCGGCTTTATGATGTTAACCATCACATAGGAAAGATTTGTTTTAATCAACTTCAATTACATTACATTTGCATGTCAAATACGTGTAGTATTAAAATCAAATTTTAAATAGGTAAAACGATCTAAAATGAATGGATTTTCAAATAGTAACTTGGTTGATTATAGATAGAGGTGATTATGAAGAATAGTATAACTATCGTTAGTTGTCAAGTTGACTGATGATTTAGCATTTTATAAGTCCATTTTAATAGATTGACTTAGGATTTACTTTTAACATATTTTTTTTCGTGCTATTATTAATTATAGATACAGGTGATTATGAAGTAGGTGCACATCCTCTTGGTAAGATTGTTTAAATAATTTTTCACGTTACTTTGCTAAGATATGTTAATTTTTCTTTCAAGTTAATAGCAGGATAGATCATTTAATCCTTGGGTAGTTTATCCTTTCTTTTATGAAATAATGTGAAGTTATATTGAAATTTATTAAAGTAATATGACTATATATAATTAAATCATGAAAATTGTAATTTCAAGCGGAAACTTTTTCACGAGTTATTTCGA